TAATTATGCAGGGAGTTTTACAGTTTATATGGACACTGCAATGTAAATAGAGCAGAAAAACAGAAGAAAAAGGAAAAAAAAGAGAAAAGATGAAAGAAAGAGGAGATGGAAAGGAGACAATGACAAAACATTTTCAGTCTGCTTCATCACCTGCAACGAGATGAAAAAAGAGCAGCACAACCGAAAGACATGGTACGAGACATACAATAAAGTAACACCTTGAAACTACTGCTGAAGTAGTATTATTAAGTCTGACATGTACTTTAAGATATTGTGTAATCTTAAAGTTTGATTCACTTATGAAGCTTGTGAGAAAATGTCTTCATGATACACACAACTCAGAGGGAAGTGTATCTTCAGCTTATAGGTTCTCAAACCTCAAATAATTTGATCCACTATACCTTTTATCTAGAAAGCACAGATGTTTAAATATTTATATGTCTATTTGTCAGCAAAGGTTGTAGAAAAGCATAGTTAGTCTTATGGATGTGGTGCCCATTCATTTTCCTGTTGTAGATTGACCCTGAGGTTCTGGTGCTTATCAACTGGTGCCTTCTGGCTACGCCTCTGATTAGCAGCAAAGCTCACTCTTCTTTGAGGCAGGACAGCAGAAAATGCAGCCCAAAGAAATTGTCTCAATGACTGGAAACAGAGCATAAGGACATTCCCTGAGAATTCAGAGAGGTAGGGCACAATCCTGCACATTGCTCAGGTGGCGTGCAGAAAGTCCACTAGGATTGGAGCTCCACAGCAGTGTGAGAACTCAAGAGAACCCACCCCCCTTCTTTAAAAAAAATCTTACAAATCACCCCCTTCTTAAATGACCATCCCCCACATACCATCCCCTGTGACATTGTATTACTGAATGTGTAAAATTTCTACTATATGTCTACAGTAATGGCATTAATATTGCCCTTTCAACATTTGGCGGGCTTACAAGTAGCCTGAGCAAAATAAATAAAATCAAAGTAGCCTACCATGACTATGAAGCTGCTCCCAGTGGGAAAGTTTTCCTCTGTATTTATCCTTAACTATGTACAGTAGGTGCAGTGATAGCCATGCCAGTCCAGGGACTGACTGCCGTTCTACTGTAAGGATCCTTGGTCAAGGTCAATGACTGGCGTACCTGACATGTAACAACCATACCATGCATATTGTTTTAGGTTAATAGACTATATTAATTAGGTATGTATGCTTAAAAAATAAATATCCATCACCCCCCCCCCCTTTTTTTTTTTTTTTTTGCAACTAGAGAACTGTTCACATCCACAAGAATAACATGATGAAACAGAACAAAAACTGTGTTTCCTGTAGGACAGTTTGATTTCTGCAACAAAAAAGTGTCTTTTCTGAGCCACAGTGCAGCATGTTTGAAAGAAGAAACAGAATCTTACCCAGTCATGCTACTTAGTCATGTTATCTGTGTTACAGCTCCAATAGCCTGGTAAATTCATGCATTTATTTATTTAGCCTATTTGGATCTAAG